CTCCGCTGTCCACCGGCGTGCCTCCGCTGTCCACCCGGACGCCGCCGCCGTCCAATCGCGCCTCCGCCGTCCTCCGTTGTTCTCTGCTGCGCCTCCTTCATTTTAAAAATGTAAGCAACCGTTTCTTACTGAAGCAATCCTCTCTCCTCTGCAAGAAACCCTTGCTGCCAGCTCAGCCTTCTCCAATGCTAAGAAATCCATGTTAGAGTTGCTTGAAGAGCCAAGAAACTCCCGTTGAAGTTGCTCTAAGAGATAAGTACATAAAAAAATATAATAATAATAATAATAATAAAAAACTACATCAACTTTTACCAAAAAAACAAGATTTATTTTTCTTACATCACGTGTCTCTTTTTCTTTATAACGTTGTTAATTTAGTAGGAAAATTTGGAGTTAACTAACAATGGTGTAAGTTTTTCTTAAGAAATTTTATAATTATGCCAATGAAGATCAAATCTAAATTTTCAAGTATCTATTTTAACCTTTTAACCACTAATTCGATTATAATGATTTAATAATATAAGCTTTGTGTTAACTACATATATTATATCTAAGGAAAAAATTATTATTCTTTTTTGAGATTTATGTATTTTGAAATAATAATGTGATATTTACTTACTTACATTTTATATCTTCTTTTTATTAGAAAATATTACCTCTCTTCCTTTTTTATCTATTCATTTGATAACATAATACAAAAATTAAAAAATATATATTTAATTAATATCATCATTTAAATTAAAATTACTTTTAACTTTTTAATATAACTTCTATTATCATGTTTCCCTGGTTTGTCGTATGTGTATAGTTCTCTTCCTTTCATGTTCGATTTTTTTTATATTTTCTTTTGTAAAATTTAAATAAAATTAAAAAATAAAAGGAGTCAATTTAGCTTAATCTGGCAAACCAAGTCACAAGAGAAGTGATGTATAACAATTTTAAGATAAAGTGAGTTAGCTAACTTTTACAATTATTAACCTATCAATCTAGTTTGACCTGTTTGACAACTCTCCTATCTAATATTGGTCAATAAATCCATTTAAATTTTGTAGTCACAAAGACTCTACAATTTACTATTAATAAAAATTAGTTGATATAGGAAAATTTAGAAGAAGGAGAACCTATGAAATAAAAGAAGAAAAAGGTGTTGATGAGGGAAAAAAGAATCATAGATGGAAGAAGCAGGAGAAAGAAGAAAAATGAAAAATGTTAATGAGAATTAAAACATGAAAACATTTGGAACTAAAACAAGAAATTTCTAAATATAAAGATTAAAAGGTAAAGATTATAAAAGTATACAAAACTACATTAGTGCAAATATAAAAACTAAAATATATAAATAGTGACAATATGTAGACTGGAACGTAAAGCAAAATACACATTAATGTCATGTTAGAGGCACATCAAAGCCACATTGTTCACTGTTAATGATCTTAATTATTGTAACAAAGTTCAAAAGAGGATTAGAAGTATTTGTATAGGAATTAAAAAGTAAGTTCTATGTAATTATTGAGATGAAATAGATCATTAGTCCTAGATAATTAAATATAAAAAAAATGATTGAAAGAGGTAATCATTTATAGCATATTAATTTTGAAAGAGATAGATAAAAAATAAAGTGAATAAATAAATAAATAAGAATGAAACTAATATTTACTTCCTTTCTTATGAAGTAAGTTTCATTGTAATAATGTTTTTGTCACGATTTATCTATCATTTTATAATACCATGAAAACGTTTATTACTTTTTTAACTTTATCCTTTTTCTTCTATATTAGTGTTTAATAAGTATTCAGTTTTTAGGAGAAAAATATTAATAATATTTTTTCAAGAAGAAAGAAAATTAGTTTTAAAATATTATTAAATTGAATATTTCGTTAATATCTATGCAACACTCTTAAATAATATTTATTTCAAAATAGAGGAAGTATTAGTTTTATTTGCACTTACATAGTTTAATTTCAAATTTCAAACTAGAGGATTTATCGTTTTAAGTGCGTTTCTGTGACTTCCCTTTTTTTTCTTTTTCTACAAAATTGTTTTTCTGTAAAAGAAAAATGTTGAAGTCACTAGAACTGAGAACATGTTAGATCACAAAACGGGTTTCTTCCGTGTTGTGCCCATTTAAAGAAAAGCCCAAGCCCAATTTGAATCGGCCCATTAAAAATGTTGCAGGCCACTCGAATATGTCGAAGTCCACGCTATTCTTTGCGCAGGAGAAGCACACACAACTCAAACAAATGAGTTTAATATTTGCTCTACTAACAACAGAGTAAGAACGAAAGAAAAAAGAGAGAAAGACACTTCAAAGTTCACATTCTCGAACAATGAGACGAAGGCACAACAGCGACAAAGATGCAGACAAACGCAATTCCCAAACTCCAATTCCATCCAAATCAGATTCAGAGCATTCCTCACACAAGCGAGTCTTCGCTTTGTGTTTGGCATTCCGAATAGTGAATTCCGTTTTGGTGCAGACTTATTTCAACCCCGACGAACACTGGCAGGGCCCCGAGGTTGCGCATAGCGTCGCGTTTGGGTACCCTTCCATCAATTTCCCTTTTCGTTTTTCCGTTAAACCTCCGTTTGTTTCTTCGTCGATGCCTCGTAAACGCTGATCTGGCAGGTACGGCCACTTAACGTGGGAGTGGAAACAGGGTATCCGAAGCTACTTGCATCCAATGATCTTCGTTCCTCTTTATAGGTTACTCGAGTTACTGCGTCTTGATACCCCTTGGATTATGGTAAACACTTTGAATCTGTATGTAACAGCTTAATTAAACAATTAATGTATTCTCGTCTGTTTCATTTTAGTGTAAGTATTATTATTATTATTATTTTAAAATTCTTATTTATGATATGTTTAGATAAATTTCTCCTCAATTTTTGGAAGAAAAGTTAAAATTTGCTTATGTATTAGTTAAAATAAGATTTTAAAAAAATTAAGACGTTATGTGTAAGTTTATTTTAGTTTAGGTGAAACTTATTTTTTTTTTTTTGGTAAAGAGGTGAAACTTATTTTATTTTTTCTTCTTAATTTTCTCTCTTAAAAAGTATTTCCGGCAAGTTTATTATTTGGTTGAGAATTTTTTTATGAAAACTAAATTCTAGTAATTTTTTTCTAGATGAGAGCTCCACGGCTACTGCAGTCTGTGTTCTCTGCAGTTGGTGATTTATACATGTACAAGCTTTCTGCGGTTCTCTTTGGTGACTCTGTTGCAAAATGGGCAGTATCCTACTATTTTGTTTACCTGTTTAATGTTATTAGACGTTGTTGATGCTTTACATTGTTCGAGATTGTGTATGAAAATTGAAAACTTAACACTATTGTTTCAGCTTTTTTCCCAGTTGTCCAATTGGTTTATGTTTTATTGCTTTTCTCGAACGCTATCGAATAGCTTGGAGACTGTTTTTACACTAGTGTCTCTATACTTTTGGCCCTGCTTGAGATCTAAAAGTAACTGCTCCTTTGTTTCAAGGAAGTGGGGTTTAGTTGTGGCTGCATTTGCTTGTGCTATCCGACCAACAAGTGCAATCACATGGATGTATGTTGGCCTGCTTGAGCTTTTAAGCGCACGTGACAGATTCAAATTCGTGTTTTTGGAGGTGGCTCCTATTGGGTATGTTTTGGGACTGTTTAGTGTTTACATGCTATTATTTTACCTGTGTGTAAGGAGTTTGAGGGGCTGGGTGGGGGTGGGGGAGGGCGCTATTTATTTCCTAGCGTTTCAGTCTATATACATGCTGAGCTTCATGGCAATCGGGGAAGGATGCGTAAATTTTGTGTTATTTTCCTTGTGGATCCATATAACTAGGATTTATTTTGATAGTGAGCTTTTTTATTATAGCATATAAATATGCCATGAGATTTATTTTATTGCACTTACTAAAAACATTAATTTAACATGTTAGGTTTTTGGAAAGTTTGCTGACATTTCATGTCGTCAAAAAGCATTAGTAACTGCAAATTTAGCCTAAATTAAATTTTATTCAAACTATTATTACTTCTCAAAATCACTTGCTTCTAATTAAATAAGGAACAAGAAATATATTTCTAGTCTAAAATGAATTCGGTTGTTATCTGACTCTAGCACTATCCTTGGTTCCATTCCAAGTTCCCATTAGAACTTACCTTATAAATTCTGTATGACTTTTACTTACAGGATAACATTGGACCACCCCTTTCCTGAAAGTTCCCACAATTTTGTGATTTGTTGTTATGAAAATACAGTGTTGTTTAGTAATTTTGCTTTTAGATAATCACATATCATCCTGTGTGATTTTCTTTTCCTGTTTCCCTTCTCACCGAAGACCATATTTATTAACACTTTGGCTCACTCCATCAGGATCCTGGTACTTGGACTTACCTTCTTATTAGATCGTTTCATGTATGGAACATGGATTCTTGTGCCACTTAATTTTCTAAAATTCAATTTTCTTTCCGCGGGAGGAGATTATTATGGAACTCACAAGTGGCACTGGTACTTCACTCAGGGGTTTCCAGTCATGATCTTCTCTCACTTACCATTTTGTATAGCTGGTATCATTTATTCCAAACAATGGAAGCTTTCTGGCCTTCTTGCATGGGTTTTGGGTTTCTACAGTTTATTGGGTCACAAGGAATTCAGGTATTTCAATCTGAAAAATTTACATATGCATATTAACATATACCAGGTCTATCGACTTAAACTTGATTTATGATAATATTTACTGTGAGATACAGGTTTGTCTTGCCAGTTCTTCCCATAGCTCTGATGTTTTCTGGTTATTCTTTGGCTGTGATAAAAGATCCTGGTTATGCAGAGTATAAGGGAAAAGAAACTTCAAAAAAACATACCGGATTTCCTCCCAAGATGGGATTTGCTATCTTATTTTTGCTGGCTACCAATATTCCAATGGCTTTGTATATGAGTTTGGTTCATCAGGTCTCTCTCGCTTACTCTCCCTCCTTTACTTGGAGTTGACGGGTCTTGCTATTATACACTTGCAATTTAGGATATAGAAATTATTAATTTTCTTGTTATTGTTTTGTTCTGATTTGATGTGTTTATATATTATTATCTCCAGTCCTTTTTATATCAAGAGTTGAGCAAAAAAAACTTCTGTAAGAACCTAGAATAAATATTTAATATATTCTTTATTTTCTAACAGAGAGGACCTGAGGATGTCATGAACCACCTTGCTAGAGAAGCTCTTCATGGGAAATTGAAAAGCATCCTATTCCTAACGCCATGCCATGCCACTCCCTACTATTCAATGCTGCATCATAACCTGCCAATGCAATTTCTGGACTGCACGCCAAGGTTTGGAATATACAATTCTGCTATAGCTTCTAATCTTAAATGGGACTTCAATAAGTTCATAATTCGTGTTAATGAATCATGTTCAACAGTGAAGAGAAAGGAGTTCCTGATGAGTCTGACCGTTTCTTGATGGACCCTGTTCCTTTTGTGTCTGAATATGCAAAAAACATGTCTCTGCCCAGCCACATTGTTTTATTTGATTCAGAAGAACAAAAATTGAGGAACCTTTTAATTTCATTTGATTATAGAGAGGTAATTAATGGGACTTCCCTAAGTTAAGTATTACACGGTTTTCTGAAGCTTAATACCGGCAATTTGTCCTCTATTTTCTAACATTGGGATTCAACAACAGGAAAAAAGATTTTTTAATGCTCACTTCAAGGTTGATCGTGATCTTCAAGCTTCAATTGTTGTATATGTTCGAACAAGATAGCAATATTCACCTGTTCTGCAGCAAATTTGGCATCGTGACAGTCCATTTATCATTTCTTCTCGTTGCTGCACTCCAATTTTAATTCTGGTAAATTGGTCTCTCTGAGATGAATTTATGTTGTTTCATGTCTGTTAATTTATTGCTTACTAGGAAATTTTGCAGTAGACAGCTTGTAAATGGCTTCTATATTTTGAGATGATCTATTTTTTTCTTAAAAAGATGAATTACATTTTTTGGGATCTCTTTTCGAGTAAGATAGACGGATAATTCTTATCGGAGTTAAGATAGTATTTATTATTTAATATTCGCAACTGTATATGGACACTTTTGACAAATTTGTCATCATATTTTAATTGTTACTAATAGTTTACGATGGTTTTGAAGGAATTTAAGAAGGATGAAATGTATGTCAAAAGGCCTAGTTTATTCCAAAGATATATTTTGAGACTATTTTTCGCTTTTTCTATTATTTAAGGTAATAGCAGATACTAGAAACAAAATATGTTTGGATACAAGTTTATAAGTGTTTTTAAGAATTTTTTACTAAAGAAATATATTTTTTATTTGCAGTTGAGAAACCTTCTGAAGTCCTAGACTAAAAGACTAAATTCGAACAGACTCTATATTCTTATAATGCTCCGCAGCACCAAATGCTTGTTAAACTGTAAATAACATACGCATATGCTAGGTAAATGCGAGTTCCGTTTTCTAAGGCAACTTTTTGAGCCAAAACAATGTATGCTTAATATTCCATAGCATCATATCTTAAGGAGAGAGAGTATCCTTGTCATCAAATTTGCTAAAATGGCAAAACACGTTACATTTGAACATTGGAATGAAAGGAAAAAGAACTCATATGAGCCAAGGTAGAAATATTTTGAAAATAACTTAAGAATAGACAAGAAACCTTATTAACACGTGATATAGCATAATAGTTAAATTAGGTCCTTGAGAGCCCCGACCATAGGAGAAGTCTTCGGGGTCGATCTAGAAACCTGGCCTGCCACGCAGGTTCATCACTTTCATGTACAAACCCACTCTTTATATACAATTTCTTAGCTGGTTCATTGTCAACAGCAACATGGACGTACAAATCTGTTATGCCTGAAAGAGAAAAATTGAGATTATCAAAGAGCGAGAGAAGTTTACATCATCAAAATCATCAATAAGATTAGTTTTGTATTGCTGCTACACGTATACTAGTCCAATATAATAGCAATGATGATTTACTTATGTTACGATCAAGAATCATCTTTACTTCCAACTGAATTTCCTAATTTTCACCGAACATCCAAGATTTTTGCTAATTAGGACCAAATATTGGGAGAGCGGGTAAATAATTTTAAATTAAAAAAAATCCTCATCAAAACAAAGATTAGGATTTGGAAATAAGGGTTCCCTAAATCAAGTTCGACCAGAGTGCCAAAGCTTTACGAGCAAAAAATGAAAAAAGAATCTACTCTTACAAGTACAATTGATATAATTGGTAATGACCGCGGCACTTAAAGAGTGCACACAAATACTTTTTTTTAAAGGCAGTGTAAAGGATAGCAACAGCAACATCCACATAGAAATTAAATGCTACTTTTTTATTCTTACCCCAATCATAAGCAACCAACTTTGACTTTTCAATAAGTGCATAAGCCAACCCATTTCTGTGCAACTCTCTAGCAACACAAACATTACTGAGGTATGCCCTGGTGATATCAGCTCCCATTACCTACAACAGTCAAACATTAAAACAATCAGACGGAGGCAGCATTGTACAAATTAGTAAAGTTGTCAACTAACATGTCAAAACTCAAAACCTGGTTACCTGGAAAATTCAGACACTTAAACATGCATACAATTTTAGAAATTCAGGAGATAAAAGAAATACCTCTGGCTTCACCCCTGCGATTTCATCAGGAAGGCTCAAGCACTGATTAAGATCAAGAGTGCCAACTACGATCCTGTCCTCTCCATTGGAAGAAAACTACAATTTTATCGAAAATCAAATTAATTTTTTTAAGAAACCAGAAACAGCACGCCACTAAACAAATCTACGCATAGAAAACTCATCCCATGTAACAATTTATTTGATGGAGTTGAGGTTTGACACCAAACAAACGTTACAACTCTATGATATGTATGAAAGACAGATCTGTACATTTAACTTTAGTAATCTAAAGAAGCTGCACGTGAATTTTCAAAGAAGATAGAGATACATGATCTATGATCCACGAGACATCTCCATCTCTAAACATACACATTGACATAATTAACAAATGAAAGGAGGAAACAAACGAACCTTACATGAAGAGCATAAATCATAGGAGAGAGTGGCAATATGCGACAAAGGAAGGGAAGCATTTATGCAAGAGACTCTTCTGAAGCCCAATCTTTTCCCGGAAACACGCTCCTTAAGTGCTTCGAACTCGCGCTCAGCCAAGTACCTCGTATGATCCTAACAGAACTTAACAAACACGAAATGCGGAACGCACCGTGTTACATTACTTGGTAAAAATCACTCTTTTATCACAATTCAAGCGCACCCTTATGAGATTTGAAAAATTGAAAAAGGAAAAGATTGAAGTGAGAGAGAGAGACTTGCACTCCGAAGGTGTCGTGGCGGAATTGGTGGAAGGAACGAACGCGGAGAGAGGCTGCGGCCCAAAGCTCATCCTCGTAGAAGGACTCGGCGATGGTTAAGAGATTGGTGTCGATGAGTTTTTGGGTAAAAATGTTGGTGGAAGCTGAGGATTGGATTTGGGTTCTGAAAGTGAAGCCATAGCAATTAGATGTCAACGGAAACGATATTGAAGAAGAGGAACAGAGAGAAGAAGAAAGAACCGTCATTTTCTTTTTGTATTATCCTTCTCTTCTCTTCTCTTTCTCTTTTTCTCTGCTTACTCATTCATTTCCACTAATTTCTTCTTTCGCATTCCGGGCCAGGCCCACTCTAAATAGATTGCTCCATTTCTACCTCTTATTCGGGTTTCGGGTTTCGGCTAATCACCAAGCCCAATTATTAATTTTTTCTAAATAAATTTAATCATAATATTAAATTTGCCTTAAATTTATATTTTTATATATTTTTTTTAAAACTATCCCTAAAACTAATGAAACTTTTACTCTCTTAACTGTTTATTGAATAAGAAAAATGACTTTAGTTAAAAATAATTCATACAAAAGACATGTTAAATTAAATCATATAAATTGATCGAACAATACTTATAATTTGAATTTTATAAAAGTACAAAAGAAGTAATAGATCCCACAAAATTAAAAACAAAACAAAACCATTATGAGAAATTCGTGTATGAAAAAAAAATAGCAAAACATTTCAGTACTTTGAAAACCCTATCTCTTTTACACAACTGCACATCCTAAGAGATATGAAACATGGTAGAGTTTGATGGGATAGAACGAAGTGGAGAGATGAAAATAGAAATTCAAAATCAACTAGAAAAGAAGAGAAAGTCTAATGCAGAAGTAACCAACTTTGCGTGCAAAGTTGTATTATGCTTTTTTCTCACCTCATACCATTGCATTTTTCCAAATATATATATGTACCACAAACTTGATTTTACATCTCTTTGAAATTTTCTCAAATGCTTAGTAATGATTATTTCAAATTTTGAAAAATAAATAAAACTACTATGAAAAGAGGTAAAAAATATATTTATTTTATAATGATTAAAAAACATATTTTATACATAACTTATTATCTTTAACAAAAAAAAATTCCTGATATCCTCCACCTAAAAGACCAATTTTTCAAGTTACTGAGATATATTTACACTATGTTTGATAAAAAAAAAATAAAAATAAAAAATAAAAAAGAAGAAAGAAATAGAGAGAAAATAAGATAAAAGAAGTATGAAGTGTAGAAAAATAAGTAAAAAAAAATATAATGAAAATAAATGTTGTCTAATAAGAAGAAAATAGAAAAGAAATAAAGTGGGAGTTAATTTTATTAAAAATAATAAATAAAAATTATTTTGTGTTACTATTATTTAAAAATAAACCTATACATATAATTTTTTTTATAAATAATTCTATTTAAAATTATTATAGTTAATATTATCATTATAGTTTTATTACACACATATGTATAACTTAATCATTCAAACAAAAATCATACACATTTTTTATCATCTACAATGGAAAGTTTCACACACTTGCCCCTTATTTTAAAGGATGAGTTTTGCTAGGGCTCACATTAACATTCTTATACTTTCCTCCTCTTTGACCTACCAAATACACCATAATTTTTAACTTTCACATCTTCAAACTTCATTTCCATTCTCTACTACTTCCTCATCTCAAACACATCCTTAAGAAGTTGACTTCTTTTAACCGATTTTCTCTTATACACATGATCTTATAGATCAAATCGTTAAACACATATTTAAAGAACATATTTTTTCCACAAGTGAAAAAAAAATACTTTAAAATTAGTTCTTTTTATTTTTAAAATTGATTATAAAATAATCGATCTTAAAAGTGATTTTATTAAAAATACTTTATCTAATTTGGGAGCATCTCTAAACAAAACCTACAAATTAGAAAATATCAAATAGTTTATATACGATTTTATCAATTAATGAGTTTTCAATTGACCAAAATATTTACATTTTCTATGTTATTTCTCAATAGACCAAATTACATACAAATTATAAGAAATGGTAAGTGTCAATCATATATATAATCAAAAGAGTTTTAAATGTGAACATAATAAGTAAAGTAATATGCAAAATAATATTATGCATCCTAAACTACAAAACATGTGTAAAACTATAAAATATAGTGATCATTAATTGAGACTTTGTCTATGTTCTGTCTCCTCATTAGTGAATCTCCCATGAAACTCGCATTTTATTTGGTAGTCACCTCTTCCCAAAGTTCCTTAGAATTAACACCTGCCTCATCAAATGACTTCTTGTTCATTGTTTCTTTAAGTATCTCCAAGAAAGCACTTTGGCATAATAAAACCAACATGAATTGTCAAAGCAGTAAGATAAAATAAGTGTCTCAAAAAGTATCAAATCATTAATGATCCAAAATATTTCAACAAAGTCATATACCTTCATATCAGAATGAAGAGGACTCCAACATTGGTAAAAGTTATGCAAAAATGATACATTCCAAATCATTAACTGGAATCCTAACATCACACCGCAACTTATGCATTCACATACAATCTTGATATCTCCTTTAGAGTATGAAAGTACATCAAATATTATACCAAACATCTATATTGGATGTCATAAAAGAAACAGAACTATCATATCACAATCAACTTATAACATGTTTAGATCACACTTTCAAATCACATTCAAACTAAATTCAACCCCAAACTCACTCAAATTAATTCCAATATCAGTATAATCCATAATATACACATTCCAAGTCCCCAAACACAATTTAAAACATTGAACCATGTCCATATATAGGGGGAAAAAAGATTGTCTTGAGAATAGCCATTTATTTGAACCAAAAGTCACTCTTTTAGGATCATATACTACTCAAATAAATTCCAAATTCAACCAAATTAAATCTAACATCTTTATATTTCATATTATACATATTCCAAGTCTCAAAAAACAATTTAAAGCATAATTTCTAATTTATATGATTTAACCCACAGCTACCTATTTTATAGTTTTTTTTTACAGTATTTTTAACCTTATTTTAAGTCATTTTCATGGACAAACAAATCTCAATAATATTATCTATATACATGGTATATTAAACTCTATTTTTTAATAAAATATTTTTTTAATCAATAAAAAAATATTACATCGACGACAATGAAACTTTTTTAATACCTTATTTTGTTCTTTTATATATTTAGTTGTATGTTGTTTAGATTGCAATTTCTATGAAAAGAGGCTACCGAACGGTGATAATTCCTACTGCACATGGGATACTGGATCCAATGGCCCATAATTCCTAAGCCCTGCTGGCACAGATTTATTGTTTTACTGAAAACTGAATTAAGGCATCAATATCATTTAGATTATGAGCCTCTGACCCCTTAGCCAACTTTAATGAAATTGCGATGTGCACTAACATCCCCAGTGGCTTTCTCCATGTACAAAAAAACACTTTTGTCCAAATTTCAAATAATATATGCACCATGTTAGATTTATCACAAACCATCAGATTTTCCTTCAACTAGCTAGTTTACGGGTTGCTATTTCATTAATCATAATTATCAGCCATGAATTTCCACGTAGAGAGTAGTTTGCATTTGCATGCACAAAACATGAATCTTGTTGTGAAATATGTTGCCAAAAAAGAAATGCTTGTCCTAGCTGAACAATTGGGCTAGGTATTTACAAGCTGTGTTGTGAACAGTGGATGATAATTGGAATCACGAGTACAAATTTGTTGGATACTACTCATAGTGATTGGTGTGTGATAAAGGAAAAGCATGAAAAGATCAAAATGTAATCAACAACCATTGCCTGTGGCGACAGATTGATTGAGGGAACAAAACCATGACTTCCTTCTCTCTGCTCGAGAAGATGATTGTTTGAACCCAGAACTAGAACATCTAGCCAAGTTTTTCCTCAAGTTCTTGTTCCCATTGCTAGGGGCTAAGGAAGGACTAACTTCTGCTCCCAAACAAAGGCTGGGGTTCATTCTGAATGAAGGGAACGCTTGGCAGCTCAGGGAGCGAAATGCTTTTGAAGGGGAAGATGATTTGGATCCACTTGATGTTTGTTTGCAAAATGGGGTGGTAATGTCACTAGAGTCCCCCAACACCTCACTTGAACATTTGCAAAATGATAGGGACAAATTTGATGTCCTATGCATTCCCTTGTGTAATGGCCTTGTATCTGGAAGCTTCACAAATGAGACTATGCCGTGCCTACAAAGGGGGCAAGCAATTGAACCTGGGGGGCCTGTTGTGGTTGTTGAGGTAGAGTTTGTGGAACAAAGATACAAGGCACATTGTGTGCAAAACTCGTGATCACAACCTGCATGCACCACCATCATCAGATGTAAGAAATATATAATGAAATGAATTGAAGAGAATAATAGCAGAATGCTACACAACTACTGATCTAACATCCTCGTAACTCCCCACGACCATCCTTAGGGACTAGGATCATAGCTTCTATTTGTTTCTAATTTTTATAGTGCCCCATGCAAACTGTAGTATTGATTTTAGTACATTCAATGGCAACCCATATATAAAGGGGATGGAAGTGTACCATTATGTATCATTTCTGACGAACTAGAAACACTTGCAAAATCCAAAAACCATATCGAAGATTGATGTTTATATTTGTAAACGTGCAAGTCAAAATTAAAAGATTGGAAATTAAATTGTAATATGGCCTTTCATGTAAGGTAATTACATCATGTTTCCTAAACAATAAAATTGTTCACGGAAAAAAATTTAAACATAATACAAAACATTTGCTCAAAGAATCAATCATTTTCTATACCAAAGAATCTAATTGCATACCATGGATCCAGCATTAATACTAAACAAAGAACATATGTTTGTGTGTCAATTTAAGAGGAGTATACCTTCCACTGCGACCATGCATTTCCTTTCCAAACAAACAGCGCATGGATCTAAGCATGTTGGTGCTAAGTCATTCGTCTTCCATCCACATTCTCTATCAAGGATGATCACAACAGAAACAAAAAGCAGGGAGGAGCAACATTAGAAATCATTAATTTGAATACCACAGCTTGAGGTAGAGTTAACTTGTTAAATCAAATGTGTTGATAAAATTTATACTAATTTTACTTTGTAATGTCAAGCGTATTATTTGCTGTGGAAAAATATGCACACAAATATTTGTAGTTTATACTTTCATTGACTGAACCACTTGATAATTACACAAAGCTAAGTCGGCGTTCGAACAACATAAGGGTGGAATGTTTGGTAGAGCACTTGAAACATAATTTGACCAAATATATCCCTATTTGGTGTGTAGTATAAGAAGATCAAAGTATGTTTCCCAGTGATGTCATGATGACAGATATCAAAATTAAATTAATGAACCCAAAAAAGAATTGATGTAAGTTAGAAACGTAATAATCATTTAACAGTCCACTAATGAAATATAAATTCCTTCCATCAATAATATTGTAAAATTGGGCTAAACACCGCATTCAAAGCATGATAAGACAAATCCGCCTTGTTACTTCATTTGAAGTCAGAGCAGACAGGACAAATTAATGGAAACAATTGTTCAATCGGGCTTAAGAAAATAAATTCATGCTAATTCTTAGGGACACAAATTTTCAATTGGTTATCCTAGGAACAAAGGAGATAGCAGAAGAATCATGCAAACTGATCGGAAGAACTTGATTGAATTGATAATAAAAGGATAGAACAAAAACACATACCTAGCTATTCTCACAATGCTCATAAGTGGAAGAGATATATATGGAGATGGAAGAACTTGTAAGGGGTCTGCTGGAGGTTCTTTTAAGATGTCCTCAAGCCAGTTTCTATGCCACGAACGAGCAACCATCAAGGGGGTCCATCTTCAAAACAAAGATCATAGGAGTAAACCAAAAAGTTTTAAAGCCATCAAAGACAAATAAGTGATTTAGACAAGATAAATCTCAAGTCACGTTATTCAAATTCAACAAAGCATTACAGTAACTAAACTTATGATAGGTTCAATTGGTTTTTATTACAATTAGACAACAAAGACCTAATGATTCTTGAAAAGAACGCAATCATAAAACACAATTATCCTCAACTCAAATTGTAAGGAAAGAAGAGCATGCACTGGTAAATCCAAATTATACAAATAATACCACATACAATTCTTAATATAATGATGAGGATGGCATTTAAGCAAAAGATGACCTACAATGCAATATTCCAATTACTACTATAAAAGACAAAAGAAAAAGGAAGTGAAGCTAATTTTTAGAGAACAGTTTCATTAAAAGGACACGATAAAACCCAGAAACATGGATACTATGACCAAGAACATCAAGAATAAACTTAAGCTTCTGGTCAAAAGCCAAAGGAGCTATAGATTAAACTAGCTACGAGTTTTTTCATGATTAGAAGACAGGGCAGTAGGGAGTTGTTTGGCTCCTCTAGAAGAGTAATAAATTTTGTATGAACTACATAATGTTTATATCTTTACCATCTGAAGTAGTAAGTATGATAAAATTATCGCAAAGCAAAAGTAACAAGGACATGTGATACATACCCATTTGCATTCTCAGCAGTTAGATTGGCACCCTTGGCAATCAAAAGCTGAACCAACCAATAACACAAAAGAAAAGAAAAGAAACTTCAATATGCTGACAACTCATATACCTGGCAATTACTTAGTAATTGTATGTTCATTTGGAAGTATAATATATTTTCATATCCAAAATAATAGTTTTCTTCTATAAGAAAATAGAAACACACTTGACAGCATTGTGCATTTCCACCAGATGCAGCATAGTGGAGTGGAGTGCTTCCAGAACCTACAAATAAAGTATAGACAGTAGTTACTAGAAGTGAAAACTAATTACATTAGCCCAAACTAACTGGATGCAATGTGTTCAAATTTCATGATATATTTTAAGCTATGTTATAGTGCTTATATTTACTCTAAACAAGAGTGTTCAATTTTAAACACGAAGAAGCAAATCGCAATTTAATTTTCTCCTATATAATAGAGAAAAGGAACATCTTGCCCATATCTATCTAATAGGATTTGATACTGACTCAGCCATACTGATGATGTTTAAAAAAAAAAAAGGATGGTAGAGAGAGAAACCCACTCATACGATTAGTCTAAGCTTAAAAGATATAGAGAAAAATAATCTGGAGTGATATGGATTATGGAAAGCTTTTTATTTTTAATCTATCATCCTTCTTGCATAGAAAACAGCTAAAAAAATAATTTTCAACTCACTTTAAGGCTGTAGGAGAGGTTATCAATTACGGAATTAGAATGTTAATCAATTGCAGTTAGTTTCAGCCATTCCCAATTTTCGTGGTACCAAGCAATTGCAAAAAAAATAAAAATAAAAATTTAAAGCTTTCGCTTGTTTATTTTCAGTCCAACCAAGCAAATTCTGATGTTATTCAAGAAATGGAAATGTTGAAAATATTAGTGAGAAATGACCAGACAGTGTAGCTTTGATAACAAACATGAAGCTCAGACATAAATGCTGACTTTCAAAATCAAATATTTGACCACTTTGTGAATAAGAAAATGCCAAACAATTACCAATTAAGTCTGTGGTAGTTCCATCCTCCCCAGTAACCTCAGACACAGAAGCCCCCAAATCCAAGAGTAACTGTACACTTTCAACATGCCCATTTAGTGCTGCCATATGCAAAGCAGTGATGCCTCCATCAGCTGTTCTGTTAATTACCTCGCAAAGGCCACTTTATATGCAACCATTTAAAGATAAATTAACTCATTGCCACATGGAAAGAACGCAATAGGATCTTAAGAGAGACACATAGTACCTTCGATCAAATTCTAAGATTGACTTATGATCATTTGTCTGTAGTGCATTCCAAAAGTTAGGGACGCTAGGTATGTAGTCCACTAGAAGGAGCCGAATGCACCTGGTATGGCCATTCAAAGCAGCCAAGTGAAGGGCAGTACCTCCATTTAGGTAATCTTCTTTATGAATCTGCAATCCAATTTAACGACCAATGTTTTATAATTCAAGAATTTATCTGATTGTTATTAATTATGCAACAAATTTGGTTGGTAGTAACGATCATACATTGGCGTTAAAAAGAATCAAGGTCTGAACCACTTCCCAATGACCATGTTGACAAGCTTGCATCAATGCAGTCTGTTAATGGTATAAATTGAGAAAAGTAAGTAAAACAGATGATGACCCTTTCACGTGATATGACATGTAAATATTGAGGATTGAATTTAAGAGGCATTCAAACAAAATAACATAGATTACCTGACCACGATAATTCCTGAGGTTGATATCAACTCCAGACTCAAGCAAGAGATACACTATCTACATCAACGCAAAACACAATGGACATTTGGAAGAGAATTGCAAAACATGATACAAGGAGAAGGAGTATATTGAATTAAGTACCTCATGGTGGCCATGAGCCGAAGAGTAATGCAAAGGGGAATTGCGAACTCCAAAAGTGGAATACCTTGCAAGACGGGGGTTATAATCCAATAATGCCTTGGCCTCTTGAACATCCCCATCCCTTGCTGCAGAAACTAAGCGCTCACCAGATGCAGAACATCCAAATGAATTCCCCACAATGCTCAGAAACTTCATGTCCCAGCAAATCAAGATAACAACACGATTAACAAACTATTCAGGAAATTGGAAGTAGAGTCCCTTCACTGACTCGTCAAAAAGCACCAGTTTCTCTGTCGGACAAACACCTCCGAAATGAAATCATCAAACCGTAATCAATCTGAAATCCTGAAATAATATAAAGGTTTTTTGGTTAGATCTTCTTCTATGTCATAGGTTCATTAATTCTATTCACCAAACCAACAAAACTCGATCAAAGTCTCTCACACATCCGAAATAATTGGCTGCAATGGTCAAAGGCCACCAAACATCCTCTCCTGATTCTTGAGAGAGATGGGAAATAGGTTTTGGTAGTTTTGTCCACAACTCCACGAGTCCGCGTAACCAGTGAATTACCAACTCTCAAATTTTCATTTAAATATTAAAAATCAACTCTTTTTTTTTATAGATTGGTTCAACCATTCGGGAAATCTGAGAAACCGAACAAAAACACAAAATTATATTCTACAATATATACAAAAAAAATTCTTTGTACCTTTGGAAGAACTTGTATTCTTTTTGGAATTGCGAAGCGGGCACTATGAACTTGACACCACCTTCCAACTATCCCTTTCAAATAATGATTTGAGGAATAAACATTAACCACCTTCTAAATTACACAACCACCATCGCCATTAGCATATCTCTATTTCACAAAAGTATCAAATTCCCACAACTCCAACCTCGAAAGGATCAAAACCCAAAAGAAATATGTGATTTCTGGGAGAGGATTGATCGCATCAAACCTCCTCCATCAACCCCACCCACCAGATGCAAGATAGTTTTGCAACGATGAAAACGGGAAAAATGTTTGTTTTTTTTCTTAAACTAGCAATTTGCCAAAAATAAGATGGAATGATATCCAAAAGGGTGACAGATGTTATTGGAAAAAGAAAATTTTGAAAACAACTTCTTCAGGCAACAACAACAAAAGGCGTGTCACCGTGATTGGATATTATTAAGGAGTCAACTTGGTAGTTACTATGTCGTTTCTTTCGTTGTCCCCTTCGTTTGCGGAGGAAGAATTCCTTATAACTGTATCACACACATTAAGGTCCTCAAACTCACTCATCTCCTCAACCAAGGGTACGTCAAACATCTATCTTTAATTACATGCAACATTGTTGTTAACACCTTCTGATTTTGTTTAATTAAACTTGAAATGTTATTTATTTGATCATGTCCATTTTGTCTATGCAGACGATATGACTCACAAAGGGAGATTGAGAATGTCCAAGTACATAAAAGTAAACTTAGTTGTTTGATAAATATTGGTAGAAGTGGTGATTAAGGGGGTTGAAAACACATGCAAAGTTGTAAAAAGTTGGCGAGAGTTAAGTTTAGAATTGACATTGGATGATTTTAATTTGGAGGCTAATGATAATTATGGCGTGCCAACACAACATAACATAAGAATATGATAACTCCAAAAAACAGAAAGAGGAGGCAAAAGGTTGTCCTTGATAAAGCAGTGGAGTGGAGCGACACCAAATTTGTGCCACCAATGATGGGTTGTAATGTGTTGTCTAACCCAATCGTGCCTAGATTGGAATCTTTTCTGTTTCATTTTCATCGGCATAACATAACATAGCATCAACACACGTTGCACAAGTAAATAATTACACCTACTTTCATTTAATCCACTCTATATATACATTTTTATTTAGGATACTTAAAATAATTAGCAAGATACTGTGCATAATTTTTTATTTAGGAAGTATACTTAAAATAATTATAATCATAATTAGGAAGATACTATACACATTTATTTAAAAAGATATAACATTGCGGTGTTGGCCTTCCATTTCCCCAAAGAATATGCGGCTGAAAATCCACGGTAGGAGGGAGGTGTCGTCTCTTATTTTATGTACTAATGTGCCTGATTTCCAAAAGGATTGTTTGGAAGTTTAAATTTTGGAAGGATATATATATATAGAGTAAAGGTAATAGTATAAGTGTAAAAATAATGGTGAAAAATATTGTCATCTAATTACAAACTATCATGTATATGATATATTTATTAATTTTATTATAATAATTATCTTAAGTGTCATGGTTAAAAATATTTTTTCATCGTTTATATATATATATATAATAAAAATGTTCTTTTCGGGCTCTTCAATACATTGAAAATTTTGAAGATATTGAACGCAAATTTCAATCTTGCCCTCCACGACCTTTCTCTAGCGCTTCATCCCACTTAATTAACTATAGTTAAGATAAATAAACACCATTAGGCACAGTTGGTCAACAGCATCCAATGATTGAATAGTAGTTACAACTTACGACATAGTATTACTTTTACACACTGAAGCACGAAAAAAATTGGTGCAAGGGGATGGAGTGTCCGCTCTATAAGAAACAAAATGATTGCGACCTCCATTCTCTTCTAAGCATAACATGTGTCTATAGGCTATAGCTAACTCATAAGTAGCTGTAGCACATAGCCAACTGCATTAGCATCAAGGTCCTATACTATAAGTCAATAACTGAGTTTAATTTCCACCGTCAGTCTTGGTATGATCATACACCTACAATTCGTGTTTATATTGGAGCCTCTCAAGTCTTAACTGTTACTCATAGCTACCACCCTCATCCGTTTCATTTTTTTTTTCCTTTATTGATTACATATTTAAGTATTCATGTATAAGACTAATGTTAACTTATCTTACTCATCAGTTTGTAAACTGACATTTGAAATAATTTGTTTTAATTGACCATTACATAATAAACATAAAAGAGTAAAGTCTATGTTCTACGGAAATATTTTTAGGATTTTTTTTTCGATGATAGATTTTTAAATATTATTTTAATTTCTTGTTTAATTTAATTTTTATTTATTATAATTATTTATGAATTAAATTATAATATTTTAAAAATCAATTTTTATATATTAATCACAAACGGTTACCTTAAACAAGAATCCTAAGATCATTTATGGAATCTTAAAATACATAGAAAATAAAGAGAGAGAAAATAAATGAAAAGGTCATTCCGAATAAAAGAATGTAGTATCAAATTCTAATAAACCTCAAGTATTAATTTCATGAGACTAATATCCACCCATCTTTGATATCTCTCACGGAAACCTGCTAGAATCATTATAAAGAGATAGTCGGCTAGCATCTCAAGTTTCCATTTTTGTCTATATTTTTTCTTTAAAACAACGATAACATTTTAGTATTATAATTGAATAAAGAACTGTATCCCACAGTCCAACATATCATCAACAACTTTCAAGAGAGATAAGGAATAAGAGTGTGCGGGAATTTTAGAATTTTCTGGAAGTAGTTTTGATGATACAAAAAGTAGGAAAGTTTAGAGGAAATTTTCCCTCTTTACTAATTGAAAGACAAAAAACGGCTATATAAATTTTCCCTCTTTATCAATTTTAACAAACATCAAATATTTTATTAAAATAAAAAAAAATAAAGAATGTAATAACTAAAATAAATAGTTATAACACAAAAAACAAAACTAAAAATTAAAAATTTAAAAATAGAATATCAAGTCAAATAGTTTTTACATTTTTTTTTACATTGCATGTAATTTTTATAGTGCTCATTCATATTGATCTTACATTGCATGTAATTTTTGCTTATCCATATTATCAATGATGTGTGACATTTATTGTATTGATGTACAAGACATAATAACATTTTATGTTGATGACTAAAGTCGTGCTAATTCCATTATTGATAACCAAATGGACCATATTGTTAGAGTGAAAGTCTAATATATGGAATTATAAAAATTATGTTAGATTCCATTTTAAGAATTACTTTAAGTTAACACATTATAAAGAGGATATGGTCTCCAATATATGGCATTATGTACATAGAAAACTCTACTTCCTTCTTTCCTTCTAAAAAGAGACAATTTTCATCGGGAAATTTAAGAGATTCAATTGAGGAAGGACCATAAAGTCATTGGCTCCTCTTTGATCCTAATCATAATAAATTGACTTAAAAATTTTGCAATAGTTGTTGAAGAACACTAGATCTAAAACTAACTACGAATCTAGGTATTTATCCTAAATGATGAATTATAGAAATTTAAGAAATTTAAAATTTTTAAAAATTAAATTACTTTGATTTAAATTTTCATAATTTTTTAAATATTTCTTATATGTTAATTCAAATTTCTTAAATTTTAACTTCTTAGTTAGAATATGATAATTTGATTTTTACCATGGTAAAATTATGTATTAAGATTTTTGGGACTAAGATTTAAGATTAAATTTTATAAACTAAATATTAATCAATTTTTAAATATTTAATACTTTTAAAATTTAATATTTTAAAATATTTAATAATGAAAATTTTATATATTTTTTATGTCGAATTTGAAAGAGATATGAAAGAGGTAGGAGAAAAAATTAAAAAAAAAAAACAAACAAACAAACAAAAAAGGGAAAGACAAAATAAAAAGAAGGAGATATGAAGAAAAAAAATAGGGGGAGATGAAAGAGAGATAGGAGAAAGAAAAGAGATACAAGTCAGAGAGAAAGAAAAGAAATAGGGAGAAAAAAAAGAGAGAAGAGTGAGAGAGGGGGAGAGAGAAAATAATGTATCAGAGATGGAAGAGAGAGACAAAAGAAAATATAAGAGATAAAAGAGAGATGATAAAGAAATAAAATATATTTAAGTGAGATAAAAAGGAAAAAATATAAAGAATTTTAAATTCTTACTCTTAGGGAGAATTTGAAACTTTGCTATTTAAAGAAATTTTACAAATGTTTAAATTTCAAATTCTTTGTAAATTTTTTATCAAAACAAAGTATTTTATCACTAAGACATTTGAAATTCTTAAAAAAAATAAATTACTTAATTTAAATTTTTTTTTATCTAAACACGCTCTTGGTGTTTTGTTTTAGGATGTAATTTTTTGCTTCCACATAAATAATAAAGATTATAGAACTAAGAATTTAGAATTTTCCAACATGATTTTTGATAGATGTAGATCTTAAATTTAGATTTGATACATTTTAAGGACAAGTTTAGGTTATGGCATTGGTTGTCCCAATCCAAGTTGATGTGTTATGTTATCTTAAAAACATTTTTTAACAAATGTGTATTAGAAATAATTTTTTTATTATTAAATAGATAAAATTGTGTGTAACATGATATTATATTTATAATTAAATTATATGTTCTAGAACATGGGTAACCATGGTATTATATGAAGTAAAGAAGTGTCCGCAACACATTTTTCTTAACACACTCATTCTCATTAATTAATTTAAAAAAAAAACTATAAAATCAGAAGATAGTCCTTAAATAGGATGTGAGACTTATCAAAATTGTGTTTTCTAAAAAATCTCAACCAATCAAAAAGTTTAGTGCTAGCATTTCTCTATAAAGTATTTATTATCAAAAGTAATGATAATGACTAATATTTGTTATCATTCATTGATGTCTGTGAATACGCACAAGGTGAGTATTCCCCCAACATACCATATTCCATACATAAGGTAATGATTTGAACATTAAACAACTTGATTAAAGAACACATGTTACTATTACTTTCACTTATGTCAACTAATATTAATTCAGTATGGTTCTATGTACTTCTAGTTTTGGTCAAGTAGATTTATATTTAGAAAAATGTTTTTGTCAAAAAAAATTGGGTCAAATTAAGGATTAGAATAAATTTGTTTCTTACCACCTGTATAACTTAATAATAAGAATTAAGAATTTAATCACTCACTGTTGATGTTCACAATAATTATCTTGTAATTATAATAATATTTTTTATTGTTGACTTAAACTACTTATGAACATCTTATTATTATTTTAATTTTAATTTATCTGAATTAAATATGAACGCCGTTGTATAATTTCAAATATTTTTATTTTTATTTTCATTTTTTTTAAAATTTTATCAAAACTTAAACTATCCGTACGACAGATGAGATACTTACCGGCTAAAAAGGTGTGAAATTGGCTTCTTATTATGAACTTGAGGCATTTTTTTTTTAAGAATCAAGGCACACTATAATTGGGCTCTTAACTTGGAACTTAGTTCCGTATCAAATGTAGATCAAAATTAAATGATTCACAATCACACCCAATTCAACAGTTCCGAATTAAAAACGATAGGGAGTGGTTGCGAGTCTTGTGACCCTTGAAAAATGAAAAAAGAAAACCAAAACATTAGGAATTTTAAGAACATTGAGCTCCATCCAATTATCAATATGGGCCTGTTTGTCCATAAAATGTCCCTATTGTATATGGATTGAAGCCTTATGAGTTCGAGTGGGGTTTTAAATCGATTACCAAATATTTTTCTTTTCTTAACTCACTTTTATGATCTGCCTTTTCTAGCCAGGGACAACCGCTAAAAAGGATACCTTCTTCAATTTAAGAGTTTTATTTAAAATCTTTAATCTATATGCATAGTCTTATAAAATATAAAACAAACTTTTAGAAGAAACAAATGTTAACTTACAATAGCATGATACTGTTAGGGCTGGTCGAAATATGGGAGTCGAAAAGTTGGATTGATAGTACTACTCGAGAGAAATATAAACGTCAAATCAAACACATGTTGAGAACGTATGACAAGCCCTATTTGTTTGTGCTCGAGGTATGGTCGAATAAAAATAAGGACTACTCGAAAATAGATGAAGGTTTCCTGAGGCTAGCCCAAAACAATTAGGTAGATAGGTCAGAGCAGTTACTAAAGGATAAATCAAAGAGTTAAAGACACGTGGGATAAGCAGTTATTGGAAGTTATAAGCACGTATCTGATATGGAGAGCAGTTACCCACCTACGACGCATGCACGCAATAGAAAACTGTTCTCGAAAATTTCTATAAATAGGCAAAAGTTGGCCTTTTACGAGGTCGGAAAACTCATACTTCAACTAGACCTTCAAGCATTCTCTGCCTGCACACATGGCTTCTATGCGAGGAATTATCTTTGGGTATGATCACTTCTCGGCCACTTTTATTTTCTCTTTTTAGGATTAGAATTAGTTTAGCTTTCTTTCTGTTTAATCATTGCTGAAAGTACTCAAACGTTGAAAATGTTGTAATGATTGGATGTTATGAACGATGATCTGTATTGCTAATATATCTATTGTTCATTCTGTTTATCTGAGGATTTATGTACATGAATATTATTATCTGTTAATCATTGACGAATACTTAGAAACAGCTAATCATTAAAACGTTCTACTCCATTTCCTTTCGTTCTGTATCTTATTTCATAAAAACACGTTAAATACCTAAATTAAAACATTGTTCGTGTGCTAGTTCGAGTAAAAAGAACCTTGTAACGTTTTTCACCGTAAACAGATACATGTAAATAAACTAAAATTAAAGTAAAAATCTATTAAACAAAAATACAAGTTTTTAATATCGTAAAAATTCGATACCTTCTAATTGATTAAAATGGCTTTAGGAAAAATAATAAATACTTCTATAAAACTATTTTTAAATATAAAACCAAGCTCTCTCGATATATATATATATATATATATAT